CAAATAAGGAAATGAATGATATGAAGAAAAAAGGAGAACACACACGGATTTAATAATGAAAAATATAATTTATAAATTTATTCAGTGTACATTTGTGTGTATGTGTTTTGCTTCATTCAGTATATAGGTTTTATCAATTAAGTAGTCGATATAGATATTCGAGTGAAAGATATCTTATATTTTGGTATGGATTATAATATATACAAATTTTACAGGAATTGAGAACAGTAAAATATTATTTATTCTATATAATTATTACAATAATGATATTGCTCAAAGAAATGTTCAAAACAAAAATATTGCTTGCACCATGCACAACGTATAAAAGCCATTTTACCACAAATGCTACATTTTGGTATACGTTTTTCTTCTTTAAAATAACAATAATCGATTGGATTATGAAATTTTTCAGGCCGTGTTGATAAATAACCACTTTTATACCAGCTATATCTAAATAAATTTCTTGGAGATCTTGGAGAAGACAGTTGATTGTGTGTTAAAGATTGCAATTTTATTATGTTATTACGTAAATGTAAATTTATGTCATAATTATTTATAATAACACTATCAGAAAAGCTTCGAACAAAATTTTTCCAGATTCTGAAACCAAAAACATCTAATGGCTGTATAAAAGCAGTTGTTTTTTTTGGTATTGTTAGAATATTTACATGTTTATCTTTTGGTACAAGTTCTTCCAATTGGTTCGGGCAATGTCCTGTCCATGAATCAAGCAGTAGTATACTTTTCTCTCCAGTGTTTGGTAGATACACTTCTTGGAACCAATTTTTGAAATGTTCAGTTGTCAATTTCCCTGATTTTGAAGCCGCAATGTAAATATTCACTGGTCTAAAAAGAGTTTGTTCTACTTGTAGTCCAAAAACACCAGTAGATTCTTTTAATACTATATACAAAGGCGAAAGGAGATGTCCATCTGCAGATATAATAGGCATAATGGTGTAGCTATGAGTCATAGCAGATAAAGATTGGATAGTAGCTCCAACTGTCTTCACTCCTACATTAGCTAATGTTCTTCCTGCATGTATTTCTAAATTAAAGCCATTTTCGTCCGCATTATAAGTTGATTCAGCACCGATTACATTAATATGTGGCTTTACTGTATTTACAAATTCCTCAGCGTTTTGACGTATAGTTAGATCAGTTAAATGAGAAGACCGCGTTTTAAATGCAGTTATTTTACGTGATGTAATACGATGTGCCTTTTTAAAATTCCATATCCACCAATTTCCTGCTTTAAATGAAGAAAAATCCACTTGTTCCTTTGCTTCTAGTGCCCATTTTCGCAGATTTATATCATGAATAATAAGTCCTCTATTAACAGCTTCTTGGAATTTTATAAGAACATATTCAGTAATAACTACAAGTTTGTCTGTATTTGAACCCCCACGCATTACATGTTCTTGCCATCTGTGCAATTGTTGAATAGATTTTACCTAGAAGAAAACAAATCTCAATATTAAACAATTCGAATTCAAAAATAAAAGAAGTTATATACGAATTAAATGTTCACGAAACATCAAATTGTAAAACTTAAAATAAAAAACAACGCGACTCTAACTATATAATTTACAGCTTTGGTCATAAGTATAAAGCATCTCTAACTCATTGTATTTTCCTAGAAATCAATGCATATACTCATAGTAAATATATAATCTCTTTACAATAAATATTATATTAATATTTTATAATATAATGTGTATATTATATTTATGTATATTATATTTATATTATAATTTATATTATATTAATATTATATTATATTACAATAAATATTGTAAAATAAATATTATTTTCCACATATTCTTATATTATATTTTTTTATTATATTATTTTTCCATATACTCGTATACTATATTATGTTCTCCATATATTCATATAGTATGTTTTTGTTACACAATTTAAATAAATTTTTTGGGATGCTTTATACTTATAGTCAAAGCCGTATGTACAATGACCGACAATGATGCGTTCCGCGAGAGGGGAAATAGAGTTCTCTCTGTCGCGGAACGAATCACTGCCGGTCACTATACACCGTAAAAGCCTCAAGTATTTTACTATATATTATTCTTCTTATTTTTTAATTAAACTTTACTTTTCTAAAACGATGTTGTACAGAAGTAAGAGATAAATGTCCTTTCTTTCCACTCTTCCAAAATTCGATTGCCTTTTTCTTATAATTTAAGTTTACATTTCCACCTTCATCATCCACAGTGCAAACTTCATTTCCATAATTATCTTCTTCAGCATCAATATCGTACACATCTACAAATTGTACGTCATGCGGTTCTGATGGATCGTCAAAATCAAGTCCCCACTCATGTTCGATCATAATATCGTGATGTATAGCACTCTTTATTAAATCAGTAATTGTATCATGGAGTTCCACCTCTTGATGATTAACAGGAGTTATTGCAATATTTGTGAAATGAAATGTCGCAATTAACAAATTAATAACATTAGCTGGATTTATTACTGACATTATGATACAAATCTTAAGGATATTTTAATTAAACATTTCTCACAGCAATAATAATATACGTACTGCTTCAATAACTGCTTCAATAACACTGAAATGTATTCCAAAATGGCCAGCTTTTATATGCAAATGAATGAAGATAACATATGTCAATATAATGAACCTTGATTGCACTGTACTTGATAAAGAGTGCTATTTTGGTCGCACAGTCATAAAACTTGTGACAAGTGTTTTGCATGTTGCCATGATGTACACACACGTGCGCACGTACAAAAACACACATACACACACACACATATTTATTTATATTTACGCGTGTCGTTTAAATTAATGAAAAAGGTAGCCGCAATGTTGGCAAAATAAACGTCTATTACGTGAAATTTTATAATTTATAACATTTTTAAATATTAGTGACTGTATCCTTATCATGCTATTTTTCTCCTACTTACTTCTTAACATCAACTTTATTGCTTTTTTAGATTTTCTATTTTCTTCCTTCCTTATCTTTTACAGTTTGCAATTATGAGGAAGATTTGAGGAAGAAAGAAATGCCATCGTCAAGTAGCGAATCCTTAAGTTTGGTACGCGTAGCATACATATAAGAGCATGTTTAATTTTTTTTTCAATATTGCCTTTTCCAAACATAATGTTATTATATATGGTTGAATTTGTCATAAAATAAGCTTTATTTTGGTTGGACAATTGATTTTAACAATTTGAAAAAAGAGAAGGAGGGGGGTATTTTATACACAATTTTACATTTTTAAAAAATCTAAATATAGCATAATAAAGTACTTTTAAAACCATAAAACTTTTGTCTAAAACATTTTTTCATATCTTTAATAGTTTCGATAATATTCGCTTAGAAAGACAAAAATCAACTTTGTTCAAGGGGTTGTTTCCACCCTTAAAACCGTTTTTGGGCACCAACGAAAAATTGTTTTGTTATTAGGTATATCTGCTCTACAATTATGCAGAGTTTCAGATTTTTTTGAATTTCCGCGTTGCCGAATGTCCCTTGTTAATCATTCTTTCTTTGTCGTGTGTGACACCGCGATTTCTGCACGCGGTCGCGATTGTGCGAGAGCGGGCAGGCAGGAGCATCGGCTCCGTTCGACACACACACATATACATATGAGTCCCGCTGTGGCTCATATGTCGTGCGAGCGCAGAGAACTATTTTTTTGTATTGTAGACGAATAAGTTGTACCTGTGACTCACGTGCTCTGCAGCTGGCAGGCACGTGCGCAATAAAGGGACCAAAGAAGAACACGCCTAGGTTAATTTAGAAACCTATCCTCCAGTTGCATTGGCAAGAGAGCAAGAGGACACAAAAAACCTAAACAAGCGATACTATTAATGCCATCTATGGGGAAACGATTAAAACTTATTCCCATACCCAATAATAATTTTGAGAATATATTTAAAAAATTGTGGACATTTCTATTGTTTTAATATTTCTTTGTTGTGTAATATTTTTGTATTCAACATTTTCCATGTCATTTTTTAGGCTGTTTGTACTCATAACTTGCTTTTTATAAGTGTCTTAGCTGGAAATGTTGGGTCAGTTTACGATGCACATGTTTTTCAGCTTTCTCCTGTCTACCAATATATTCAAAGTCCACAAATATATTTTCCTAATAATTCTCATACTATTGGAGATTCTGCCTATAGTATCCATCCCCATATTATGGTACCTTTTAAAGATAACGGACATTTGACGGGTAGACAAAAAAATTTTTATTTTTGCTTATCTCTTGTGAGAATGACAATTGAGAGAACGTTTGGCTTATGAAAAGGACGATGGAGAAGCATTTTGGATTGCTTATCTGTGGTTACTCTAGAAAAAATTCCCGAATATTTAATAGCTACTTGTGTACCGCACAATATTTGTATATTAAAAGGCGATTTGATAGATTTTGATGAAATATGTGAACAAGGTAGACATGCACATGGAGCATTGATACCTGGTAGAATGGAAGATGGTAATGCTAAACGGCAATTATGAACAATCTAATTATGAGAAACAATTGATGTTCATTGTCACTGTTATCTGTTTCTTTTTTAATTTTTAAGATATGCATAATATTTATAAAATTTGTGAAATGAATTTCGTAATTTTATACTAATTACTTTACTTTTTAATTTCAGAACCTAAGCCCTCTTAACATTGATTAACAGTTATAGTAAAAATAATTGAACAATTTTTGTTATTAAATTTTATTTATTAACGTAAGGTCAAGTTTTACAAGCATCAAGAACAATAAGAACTTTAGAAACAAAATAAAAACTTTAGACATGACAAATAAGAAATTTAGAAATAACAATGGCATAAATAGGAACTTAGATATTCAGACTGTCAACAAAATTAAATTACTTTTTAGTGATGGCCTCTAAAAACTGTTGCATAATTGCTATTTTTTCCTTGTGTTGTCTTTCTTGCTGTTTCTCCAATTCTTTTAACCATGCTTTTTAGCTTGTTTTTTCTTCTCTTTTTCTGCTCTTTCCTCTTTCATATCTGATATATAATCATCTAAAACAGCCTCAATTTTCCGTTTATTACATCTTTTTTTTTATCATCATTTGTGCAAAGAGAATCAGATACGATTGCCTGCTGAGCACTTGGTCCAGCTTCTGTAGCAATAACTTTAGGATTTGCCCATCCTGTTTTTCCAAAAATTTCATGCATTCTCTGAAAAAAAAACATACTTTGATAAATCTTCATCAAATATAACTGGAAGAGAAAATTTAAATTAATGTACTTACTTCAAAATAGCCACGTCTTTCTGTTATTTCCTGACACAGAATTGTGATTTAATATTTTTTGATATGTCTTCTTCAAACCATTTAATTTCAATTCACATTGCGATCCACTTATAATACAGTTATTATTTATTTTCCTTATTTCATCAGCGATGGTTTCTCAAATTTTATTGTGGCGTTTCGTACTTTCTGTAAACTTTTCTTCTCGTTCCTCATATTTTTCGAGCAACAGGTATACACATTTAGACGGCCACACGAATAATGACTTTTCATTTGCTGTAACTCACTTGAATTTTTAGGATCGACATCAGAGTCTTGTGATTTTAGAAATGGTGTGTAAGATTCATCATCATGTAGAGACTGAACAACTGTTGAAATGCCAATATCATTGTGTTGATCAGTTGAAATTCGTATATTTGTTTCATTCATCAAATCTTGGCTTCTCTTATCATAAATTTTATTAACGAGGCTTGTTATATAATTTATATCTGAAAATAATTAAAAATTATTCTTATGCTAAAATATAATACAATATATATTTTATAATACATTTTAACCTCATTGTTACATATGAACACATTAATTATTTTTTCTTACCCATACTGGCTCTCTTCGCATTTTGTGGCAAAAGCTTCAATATTAATGTTTCGCCACTATCTTCGATGAAAACAGGGACAGATATTAATTTATCCGACATTTTCGCCAATCAAATTTTTAAGTTTTTAACGTCTTTTCTTTTTAACGTGTTCTCTTCTTAACGTCTTCTGTGTTCTCTTCTTCAAATCGTCACTTTTTCGCGCATTTGTGACGTCATACAACTATATGATACTCACGGTGACCCACCTTCCAACCAGAAGCATCATGAGCACTGAAGACATCATGTATTAATGACGTCACTTTGCTCATGAAAACGCTGTAAGGATGAATCGGACTGGCCGTGAGCGTGATGTTAGCGCTGTGAGCGTGTTTCGAACCACAGCCATATTCGTCATTATGCTTCGTACAGAATAGTTATTATCGATGAGTGTCGCTCAACGCTCTTACCGACACTAGTGACTATCGTTACGCGTGTACAAAATTGAACCCCTGGGATATTGAATAATAAAAGCATTTTTTCTGCAATTTATTTTTTATTTTCTTTTTGAAGTATACAACAAATTCCATTAATACTGTCTCATTTTCTAGCACATATTTTAAGCATTTCTAGCAAATATTTTAAAATTTCTTTCTGATTAGATGCATTATTGAAATATTTGTATAGAATACCTGTAAATTATTTGACGATGTGTCAATTCCAAAAATGTCTAATATCACATATCTAACTATAAGTTGTAAACTATGCTAGGAAATGAAACAGAATGGATGGAATTTCTGTACATCAAACATATACAGGGTGACCCACGTAAAGTATTACAAGTCCATAACTTTAAAAATATTTATCAAATCAAAAAATTGTTCATAAGAATGTTTCATGTATTCGAGAGGCTTCTCTAATTATGTAAACATAAAGTCGCTCCCGCTTCCCCTTAAGGGGGGACAGGAGTAACTTCATAATTTTAAATGGAACCCTCTATAAAATGTTGCATATTTGGATTCTACGGGAAAAACAAGTAAATTTTATCTGAAACATTTGTTTGGAAAATGCTTCTATCAAAAGTTATAAGCATTTAAACTGTTTAATGTTATTGACTAGTGTCATCCACTCCTTGCCGCGGAAAGATTGCCTCGAGGCGAGTGGTCGAGGAATAATTTGACAACCTCCTCTCCGTTTCGTATAGAATTTATTCTTAGCACACTTAATTATCTGGTGATAAACTGTGACACGGTTACAACGTTCTTTTGTTTCCCAGCGATAGCTTGCTTCTGCCACGTTCGCGTTTTCGCACGCCGCCGCAGGCCTAGGGCGAGATCGTCCGAACATCCCCGGAACGGCCCGAGGCGACGCAAAGCGTCGTCCCTAAAACGCGGGAAAAACTATTTGCGCGCAAAGCAGTTAAATATATTAATAGGTCTCTTACATCACTGCCCTCCATTGAAAGCTATGGTTTCAATGATCTGAACCCACACAATTAAAAAAATTAAAATTGAAATGACAATCATTGCACTTATAATTATGTTACAGGGTAATAGGCTTACATACTAATGTAGATAAACACAGTTTATGCAATCCATGGCATTATAGTCCAATAAACAACCTTGTCTTAACAGTCCATTGGTAAAATTGCAATTTTTGATAGAGGTCTAACATACACCGACGCGGTTCTAGTCGACGCCACTCGCGTGTTGCCATCAAGGCCTGTGTGCACCTGAACTACACGGCCTAAAAGCCATTATAATGGCACCAAGCCAAGGCTGTTTTAACAGCACAACTTGATTTTCTTTAAGTTGTTGATTCTTGTTGGTCCACCACTTATTGCGCTCCTGTATCGAATGCAAATATTCGGTGCTCCATCTCTTCCAAAAGTGCTGTCGCAGTTGTTCTATTCGCTGCCATCTAACTAGTCTATTTTCGGATACTTCGCTTATATCCGCTTGAGGAAAACTATGCAGGGGAGCACCAACCAAAAAATGACCGGGTGTGAGATATTCTAAATCGTTGGGATCATCGTTTAGAGATGAGATAGGCCTCGAATTTAGAATTGCCTCTATTTCACATAGTACGGTTAGCATCTCCTCGTAATTTAAATGAGCCCTGCCTACTATTCGGTATAAATGATATTTCATTGATTTAACCGCGGCCTCCCATAGCCCCCCAAAATGAAAAGCGTGGGGAGGAACAAGATTCCATGAAGTTCTCTGGCCGCACTAAAAATGCTGAACATGGCTCTGGACCTGCTCCTTGTTCACAAACTCGTAGAGCTCTTTGAGTTCTCGACGGGCTCCCACAAAGTTAGTTCCGTTGTCAGTATAAATAACTGATGGTTTGCCCCTACGAGCAACAAAACGCTTCAAAGCGCCTATAAGGGTATCCGACGTGAGGTCAGTCACAAGTTCCATATGCACGGCCTTGGTAGCAAAGCATACAAATACGGCCACATACGACTTAATGGTACGAACGTTACGTCGCTTGCCTTCCCGTAATATCAGGGGTCCGGCATAATCTATCCCGCAATGATAGAACGGGCTGGATACCGTCACGCGACCTGACGGTAAAGCACTTATGATTGCTTCAGAGTGCAAGGGCTTGACCTTAAAATAAGTTATACAGGCTTGAACGATTCTTCGCGTGGTTGAGCGCAAGGCCAATGGCCAAAACTGTTGCCGTACAGCTGCCATTGTGGCCTGTACTCCGGCGTGAGCGTTGCGTATGTGCTCGCGCTATATTATGCGCTTCGTAAGCTCGTGGCTGCGCGCCAAAAGCACTGGATGGTTTGCGTTCGGGCTCAGGTCCGAATTTTGAAGCCTGCCCTCTAATTAATTCATCATCCCCCATAAACGGTACTAAAGGTAATAAAACGCTCGACGTATCTAAGCTCTTGCCTTTACTTAAGGCCCGATACTCACAAGGAAAACATTGCCTTTGCACAACCACTTCAGGGACACAACTAATTCCGTGTGTGATACAAACTCAGTAGGCGGATTCGGACGATATCTTTTAATAAATCTTAGACAATAAGCTACAACGCGACAGGCCTTGTCTAGATTCGAATACTTATTTATTAAATCGTTTACAATTAATCCCTTTATGCACGCAACCGCCACCGTTTTCTTTCGCTCCGGCATATTTTCCAAATAGTTCACACTATTTGTAAGCCAACTTTCTTCGCTATTTACCAAAAATTCAGGCCCGTGCCACCACTTGGGACTTGACGAGATCGTGGCTCTAAATCCCTTGACAATATATCAGCTGGATTATTGGCCGATAAGACATGATGCCAACTGTTAATGCTAGTAAGACGCTGAACTTTCCGACGCGGTTCGCGACAAAGGCCGCCCACTTCCGCGATGGTGAGGAAATCCAATTGAGAGTTATCATGGAGTCGATCCACAATTTTATTGCAATTTGCGTTAAATCCACAACCGCGGATATTTTTTCAATTAGCTTGGCTAATAATACGGCTGAGGCCAGCTCTAATCTCGGTAGGGACACGCTCCTAAGCGGTGCTACGCGTGATTTTGAAATCAAAAGTTCCACGCGATATTTATTGCTTGCCAATTGCGTACGTACATATACAGACGCCATAAGCGCGCTCACTTGCATCACAAAACCCATGCAATTGTAAGCATCGTGGTTCTACATTTAATTTAACGCAACGTGGTATTGACATTTGGTTTAAGTCAGATAGTTGATCCTTGAGTTTCGCCCAACGCAAATTGATATTGGGTGGCACGGATTCGTCCCAATGCGAATTCAGCTGCTACAATTCTTGTATAATAAGTTTAGCCAAGACCATAATCGGGCCCAAAAGACCCAACGGATCAAATATTTTAAATGCTTCCGACATAATGGCACGCTTTGAAGTGACCCGGTGAGTTTCATCCGGTTTGTATAAAAAGTGCAAAAAGTCCTTTTCCTGATTCCATTGAACCCCTAGCACGGAAAAATCCGCACCATCGTTAATAGTAACTATTTTTTCGCTTGCATCATTGAGAGATTTCAACAACTCTGGATGATTGGATGCCCATTTACGGAGTTTCAACGCTCCTAATTGCAATATCGCAATAATTTCATCGTGGGCAGTTTTTGTTTCAAATATCGTGTCTGCCCCCGTGAGCAAGTCGTCCACATAAAAATCCCGTTTGACGCGTACGGAACCGATAGGGTATTTTTCTTGATAAGCATCCGCTAAATACTTCAGGCACCTTGTAGCCAAATAAGAAGCTGAGGCAGTTCCGTACGTCACAGTTCCCAATTCGTAAGTCCTACCTCAGCTGTTGGATCGCTTCGCCATACAATTCTTTGGTATCGAGTTTGCTCTGAATTTATTTACACCTGGCGATACATCTTAATAATATCCGCTGTAATCACGTATAAAAACATTCTAAACCGCATAAGTATCATCATTAAGTCTTGCTGCACGACCGGGCCAATCAAAAGAGTATCGTTCAATGACACGCCGGTATCGCTTTTACTGAATGCGTCAAAAACTGCGCGGAATTTAAACTCTGCCGATTTAACAATGCAATGATGCGGAAAATAATAAGAGTCTGTTCGCGCCCTACTCGCGTCCTTTATAGGAGTCATGTGGCGCAGTTCTAAATATTTATCCATAAATTGCGCGTATTGAGCTCTTAATTCGGGATCACGACTAAGTCGTTTCTCCAAACCATGCAACCGTTTCAACGCGATATCACGCGAATCTCCAATCTTGTCAACCTTCCCTTCTTTAAACGGTAAAGTAACAATAAATCTACCTTGAGCGTTCCTCTTAATGTTATCCACAAAATGTTGCTCGCAAACAGCTTTATCCCTGCTATAATTGTTCTCGCTTTTAACTTCTTCCAGTTGCCAAAGTTGCCTCAACTCGTTATGTAATTGTTCATTTGTAACCGATAAATGAAAGGTCTGTACCCGATTCGTGTTGCCGGACGGTTGCTTAAAATATCCCGCCAGAATCCATCCAAAATGTGTCTTTTGTAACGTCAGGTGCCGTAAAAAGGGCGAAATACGTCCTACGCAGATGAGCTGCCAAAATAATTCGGCTCCAACCAAAATGTCGATATCCGAGGATACGTGAAATTGAGGGTCGGCTAACTTTATATTTCGTGGAATGTCAAACGCGTTTCGCCTCATTGTGAAGGCGGGAAGTCTGTCCGTTACTTGCTCTGTAACGATGCAGTTAATTACTGTGCTGAATGTGCCTATGCGCGATTGCAGTTGTATCGTCGCAACCTGGTTTGCCTTGGTAATAGTGTTACCTATGCCAGATATTGAAATGGTTGACGATATTGTTTTGATACCGAGCGCTGCAACGAACCTTCGCGTTACAAAATTTGCCTGCGATCCACAGTCGAGTAATACCCGACACGTTCTAGTTGAACCCCCGGCGTCAACCACTAACACGCTGGCCGTGGACAATAGAACATTCTTACCGCTGAACAAATCACCGCATTGCGCAGCTGAAGCCGCGAAAGAGATTATCCGAGAAGTCTCTTTGTCAGGTTTCTCTTCATCACCCTGCTGGTCCGAATCGGAGTTTTTGAAATGAAGCAGTGTGTTGTGCTTTTGCTTGCAAATACGGCAAGTACCCGATGTACATTTGGCCGAATTATGCATGATGGAGCGCAAGCAGTTTACGCAAATCTTGCCCTTGCGAATCGCGGCTATTCTCTGAGGCACCGTGAGTGCTAAAAACCGTTCACAATAATAAATTGAATGTTTGCCCCGGCAGTGATTACATTTCTCCTTAACCGCCGCGACATAGGCAGCTCGACTTTTTAGCTTCGATTGCCCATTCATATTTGCTTCTTTTGAAGACCCTAGATTAAGCCTCCCGCTAGCTTCTAATGTATCACAGCGATGCGTAACAAATTCTAAAAATTGCTTTATCGTTGGCAATTCATCATTGGTTAATGAGCCTTGCCATTCGTGCATTGAACGGGCGTCGAGTTTAATGCTTAAAATGTGTACCATTAAGTTGTCCCATTGTGAAATTGGACGTCTCAAAGCCTCAAGAGCTTGCATATGCCTGGTTGCACCGTCTGCGATTTTTCTCAGTTCAATAACAATTTTCGCGCGATAAAGAGGATAATTCCATTATGGCCTTAATATGCTTTTGCACTATAATGCGCTTATTATCATATCTTTTCTTTAACAAATTCCAAGTGACTCCATAATTTACGGCAGAAATTTCCAGAGAACTTATAATGCCTAGTGCTTCATCGGATAAAGACGCCCTCAAGTATTGTAATCTTTGTACGTCGTCGATAGAATTGTTCGCGTGTATGATCGTCTGAAAATAATCATAAAACGGAAACCATTCATATTTGCCCGAAAAAGTAGGAAGGATCAATTTGGGCAGTCGCATGTGCGATAAAGTGTCTGAGACGTTAGACGTTCGCGCAGATGTACTAAAGGGAGATACCGCGCCTCGTGATATGCGCGGTATGTCTACCAATTCCCAAATCCTAGCTGATAGCGTATAAAAGGCGCTCTCAAACCCTGCGAGATGCATTGCTTCATTTTCGTCTTGCAATTCGATGCTTGTTTGAAGTATCTAACCAATATATAATCATAATCTAACCAATATTTATCGAGTCTTACTCGCCTTTCCTCGAGCTCAGCTATTATTGTATTTGTAATGGGACCGGCCGCTATCTGGTCGACGTATGTTTTTATGCGGGTACACGACGCCTGGATCGTGAAGCGCCGCTTCTTAAGAACGACAATGCTTTCATCCGAACTCATCGCGCGATGCTGTTCGTTCGCGTCGTTATAACCCTTATGGTTGGCAATACCCTTCTATTATAATTTTGGTTGGCGTTTTACCCCTTAAATAACTTTCCTCACCTCCTACTTCGTGGATAATCCGCTCTACAAATGCTTCGTGTAAGCTCAGGAACAATAGCCGCCTTCCGACGCGTAGTCGTATATGAATACTGTCGTCTCTTTGTTGCACCGGCAACTGCCCGCGGTGATCCGCATCAACCTTGCTGATAATGGCGTATGCGAACGCCACTAATCAATTTCAAATTCTCCTGTGGTTTCAGCCGCTTACCTTTGGAAGCTTACTAGTCCCGTGTGACTAAATGTCCTTGAGGTAGCCGATATTATCTGTATTGCTTTTTTTGAGGGTTCGCCTGCATCGCCTCATAGTTTCTTCTTTGTTCGTTAAGCATGCAACTCGTACAATGGCGTATGTGCCTATATATCCGACTCGAAGGACCATATGTTTAATGTTGTTGACTAGTGTCATCCACTCCTTGCCGCGAAAAGATTGCCTCGAGGCGAGTGGTCGAGGAATAATTTGACAACCTCCTCTCCGTTTCGTATAGAATTTATTCTTAGCACACTTAATTATCTGGTGATAAACTGTGACACGGTTACAACCCCAGACAGCACAAAGATATCTAAAAGTTGACTAAAAGATGGCAGATTTTCGATATGGACGTCTTTTTGGTAGAGCGTATAGGCGACGAAAAGGTGACTAAAAGACATCTTATGTCTCACTTTATGTCGTCGTATTTCTGCGATGTATAAGATGACTAATATTAGACATGTTATAGTCGTCTCATTTTTTAAATCTATAAGATGACGGATATCAGACATGTTTTAGTCGTCTTTTAGAATTATACTTTAGACATCTTTTAATTTCTTATTTATTTCTTAAAGATTGTTTTGTTTAAACATAAAAAAGTATTGCATAAAATAAAAGGCAATGTTACAAATAGTTTTTATTATTAATATATTTTGAATATATAAAACATACATTATACATTTTATAAAACATATATTATACATTTTTAAAACAATATTCTTCAATGAACATCAACATAAAAAAAAATTTTTGGTACTCGTTTATAATTTAAAATAAAATATATATTATTCTCATATATATATATATATGTTGTATATATATGTTATATTCTCTCTTTCCATATGTTTCTTGTTTGATGTAATTATGTTTCACTTCCTAACTTAATATGGTATCTATATCTATATCCGGCTCTTCTTAACCATTCAGATAATGTTTTAGTTAATTCATTAAAGCTGGTCTCATGTGAGTTCATAATAGTTCCTACAATTATATATTACATTAATATTAAATTTATTATTTTGTTTCAATATATTGTAAAATAACATTTTAAAAATATAATTAAAAATAATAAACGTAATTATATGCCAAATTACCAATAATAACGTTTGCAAATGTTGCATTTTTTATTCCCTCGGTTTGACGCTGAACGTCCCATGTTATCTGCTTTGCAAAGTGATTAGTTAGAGTAATCACTAAAACATTACTCAAATGTTTAATTGCAGATGCTCCACCAATAGTTCGAACTTTCTTCTCCTAAAATTTATAATACATTTCATTTTATATGTTTAATTATATACTACAGATGCACGATTTTGAATTGATTCGATTATTTCTCCAAAGAATTACCTTGTTTGTTTTTTTTTATTACAATACATTCTTTACATTTTTCGTATTCTCAACGAGACAAACACATATTTGGATTTTTGAAAAGAGCAAGACCGAGAAAATCAACTCAGTTGTTTTTTTCAAGTGTTCGAATATGCGTCTGTATCGTTTTAAAAGCGAGCAATGCAAAACATACAACACGAACAAATCTTTTCCCCCAAATTTTTTAGGAAAAGGATCGAATCACTTTAGAATGCATTTCTATTTTATACACTGATGCGCGCGCGCACGTTTGTACAGTCGATTACTAAAAGGTTGTCCGTAATTTTTTTGGTGAGTTTATGACTCTCTGTCTTGTTCAATGGGAGAATTTGTTTTTTCATAGTAGAATCCCACTTAACAAAGAAGAATTAAATCAACATCTTAAAATATTGATTTTATGTATACTTCTTAAATGTTTATACTTAATTTAATTTCAATAATATTTTAATTTCAATTTAATTTCAATAATATTAAAAAAATATTACTGCATAATATGATGCCTTTGAACATCGCAAAAACATTTTTAAAATATTAAAGCGTCGAAGATAATAATGTTGAAATAACATTTAAAACTATATTTATTAGAAAAAGTTATACTTTCTTGAATATTGAGTAACGTTCTATCAATGATTTCTTGTTTAATACGATGATCCCATTGGACAAGAAAAAGAAATTCATAAACTGACCCCAAAAATTACGAACAACCTTTTAGTAACCAACTGTAAATGGATAATTAATTTGTTACTTACAAATTGTTTTCGCACGTCACTTTTTTCCAACTCTGCAAAAATTTTTGAACTCTTGTAAATAATGTATTGGAAACTCTGGCAACAAATTACATAAATCTGATGACGTTGGATTTTGGTCATGTAAAATAGCAACAATTAAATCTAGTTTTCTATGTGCGGATAATAAATATTTTCCGCATTTGCACGTATCTCCTGCAAGACAGAAATATTACATGTAATAAGTATAAATATATAATAAAGTTAAATTTAATAATAGACAAGATTTATCGTTACCTTTGCTCGTATTTTCGTTTGCATCATTTTCCGTTTGTGAACCAGTTTCAGTTTCCATGACTACAAAAAAATCACAATTAGTAACATCGTCAAATAAAACAGATTCTGTGTGAGATCTGTTACTTTCTGTTATCATCAATTTATAACACACTCAAAATCTGTTTGTGCAGATTTAGTTGTCTGAGAACAAGATATTATATGGAGATACAATGTTCATATAACAAATATTTCATTTTAGGTTATACCTTGAGGAAAGATTTTGTTGTATCCTTTTATTTTTTGTATACTACATCCAGGATTGTAGTCAACTAAAAAGGATAAATTTAATAAATATAAAGTAATAAACACAATATATAATTATATAATATTATGTACCATGTGTAATAGTAGGAAGCAATTTTTTTCTGCCCAATGTTTCTGGCGGGACCTCTGCATGTCCTTCATTTTCTTTCTCTGTAGAAATTGTTAATATTATATATAATACACACACACACACACACACACACTTGTGTGTGTACATATGTGTGTGCGTATATGGTAATATATATAATTATAAAAGTCTGTAAAGTGAAATGTATGTATGAAGCAGTATTTGAATATCAATTAACAAACCTTGCAAAGGGTTTTCAAAAGGTTTTCCAGAAAAAAAGTCACCTTGACCAACTTGATAATCTGCAGACAATGTATATATAAAATAATTAAATTTAAATTTATTTAAATCGGATTAGTCGGACAATAATTTTCATTTCGCAATCAGAATTCAATCCGTGTTCACAATGCATAGTATGACATGGGCTTTTCTTTACATACTTTTATTTATATTGTGAATCTTCTTTTATCGATCTAAGTTCTTGTAAAAGTGGCTCATAAGTGTTCTAAGTAACTATAAACCATTTGTACAGGCACTTTTATTGATAAAAGTGGATTTAAAACAGACTTTTGTCTTTAAATATATTATGACGGGGTGACTGTAAGGGCCAGCAAAATGAAATTGTAAAATAGATATTTACCACATCTTCCATGCTTCTCACTTTCTTTGTCAATGGTATTAAGAGAAGGAGGTTCTGGTATAATCTTCCTAGTTTTTGGTTTCTTTCCTACAAATATTAACAATAATTTGAAATATCGATTTCAAGACAACAAATTACGACAATATAAGATATAATGAGGCACAAATGCACCAACGCACCTCGTTACTACCGGCCCGACCGACCACCTGTCGGACCGGAGAACGGCGCTTCGCGCCAGTAATGCCAGAAAAACACTCTAGTAGCACAGCACAGCGCGTGAGGGGTAGCGCACACAACGAGCGACTCCGTGTCTATGAGCGTTCAGTGCTTCGGCCGGCATCGGACTTTAGACAAGAGCAGACGATGCAGGGGGTTTAAATTCCCCGTATTTTTTGGCTCCGGAAGTTCAGTTCAGTGGTCGGTGCTCCAGGCGGCAGCACAGTCGATCCCTCTCTTTTCCTCTCTCTTCCCCTTGCCCATAAGTTGATTTTGACTTGTTTTACCTTGACCGTTAATGGTTAAACAATTCAATACAGCATAGTGCAATTAACGCTAAACGCTAAAATTTTTCAGTGCTATTAGTGTTTATGTAGTGAATATTCTGTAATATATTATAACGTGTTTTTTTTCATTTTTAGTTGTATAGTAAATTATAGTGTTTAAGTGTATAAGTGATTTATAGTGTTTAAGTGTTTAATTGATAGCGTTTAAGTGATTTATAGTGTTTAATTATTATAGTGTTTAATTATTATTAGTGAATAATAGTGATTGCATTACATATATATAGTTATTACAATATTTTATATATCTTTATTATATTAAATATTATATTATATATTATTAGTTTATATATTATTTATTATATTAGATATTATAATATATATTAGATTTCAATTTATTATATAATTTATTATAGTTATTAGTTATAGTCATAGTTATAATACAATTAAAATTTTAGCTACATTTATAGAAACATGGTGCATAAATGTTGTGTGCCCAATTGCACATCAAATAAAAATATTCCAAGGCACCAATTTCCAAAAGATGTGCAACGAACAGAAATATGGCTTGCAGCAATAAAAAGAACAGACCTGATTGGTAAGTGTACATATATATATTTCTATATGCGTATTTATTTTGTTCTCTCTCTCTCTCTCTCTCTCTCTCTCTCTCTCTCTCTCTCTCTCTCTCTCTCTCTCTCTCCCTCTCCCTCTCCCTCTCCCTCTCCCTCTCCCTCTCCCTCTCCCTCTCCCTCTCCCTCTCCCTCTCCCTCCCTCCCTCCCTCCCTCCCTCTCTCTCTCTCTCTCTCTCTCTCTCTCTCTCTCTCTCTCTCTCTCTCTCTCTCTCTCTCTCGCTTTCCTTTTCTTTATATATATATAAGGGTCTGAAAAGTTCTCGGCCTAACAATGAAAGAAATTTTTTTGCCGTGAAATATGTTTTATTTTTTCAATATAATCTCCTGAAATTTCAATACATTTATTCCAACGTTTTTTTTCCAATAATTCAATACCATCATTAAAGTGGTGTGATTCCGGGAGGAAATCTTTTCGCTCTGATGTTTAGTGGTGGATCCAAGTTTCATCAACAGTTATGAAACAACGCTTGATATCCATTTTATTTTGCTTAAAATGATCCAAACACGCTTGAGAAATACGCATTCGAATGCGTTTTTGGTCAATTGTTAGCAAATGCGGCATCTATCTTGCACAAAGCTTTTTCAACTGGTGCTGCTACTCGAATGACTTGACAAATCGAATAAAATTTTACATGGGTTTATATCAGAGATGCCATTTTCCAATACAATTATAGTTTGACAGTTTCTAATGCCATGTATATGTCAGGTCGAGAACTTTTCAGACTATGCTTACGTATATACCCCTGTAGCATTCAAGATCATTATGTCACAATGAAGTCACATTATAATGATGTGTGAATGTTCGCATTATCACAGGCATGATATCACTGTGACATCACTCTTATTCAACTGGGAATTTCACCTCATATAGTAATGTCGCTGACATCTGTGATAATGCGGACATTCACATAATATAATGTTAATATGACTTCATTGTGACATAAATGCTTGTAACATAATGACCTTAAATGCTACGCGGGTATATTTTATTAATTTTGAAATTTATTTGATATATGTTTGTGCATTTATATATATATATATATATGTAAATAAATGCATATGTTTTAAATATAGTCTCTTTTTTATGTGTTACAGGTGTACAAAGGGAAATATTAGATAAGTTAAGAATTTGCACTATTCATTTTTCAGATGATAGTATTTATAATTATACTCAAAGACGAATTTTAAAAAGTAACGCTATTCCATCATTATATTTACCGAGTGAAATAAATGACGATACTGAAGAACGTAGAATTATAATTAATTATGATGCGGTTGTGCATAAATTATGTGCTTTGCATCACATTTTTTAACCACACCGGATATTTTATATGTTTATATCCGACAGTCCGTAGTCTGTTTAAAGTGGGACGGGAAAATGTTATGTAAAGCATTTTTATATGTGAATTACATTATATATATATATATAATTTATAATTTAGCAATACATGTAACACGATTCAACATTATATTATTTTACTACTTTTTTTTCAAATAGTTTATTTATTATATTTACCTGTTATATATATTTTGTTATATTTTAATTTTTGTGCAACAAAAAACTAATAAAAATAATATGTAATTATGTTCTATTTTAATGTAATTAAATGTACAAATGTATACATTGATAAATATCTTTATGTGCATTGTAACATGTTTTAATAATATAATATTAACGTATATATATTATAATCCTCCCAATAATATTGTTGTTAATTTGCACAAATTAATAACAAAGTGATAAGTTTCTGAGCGATGTTATTAAGTTTAACTGTTATTTACTGTACTTAAGATTACAAATGAAAACTATTTTAAATTTGTGAAACATTTTTTACGTAGTCTTAAGTAACGTAAATAACATTTAAACTTTACAATATCGCTCAGGAACTTATAAATTTAATTTTAATATCTATAAGTATGTACCACACGCGCGCGGTATGATTTAAATATGGCGGTAATCTCCCCACCACTCGTTCCCTAGTTCGTTATTTCCGGGCTGGTGCTCCAGGCGGCGCTGAAAATAGTACCCCCTTCTCATAAGAGGCGAGTTTGAACCCTCTGAGACAATGTCTGTTGTCTCTGTCTTCGCCGAGCGATACATATAGCTAACTCCGCCGGCCGCGGGAATCTCGCGCTATAGACTTCTCTTTATATTTCGTCGCTCGTAGGCCCGTCTCGCGTATTTAGAAACATTATAAAATAATTCTTATGTTGTTCAGAGTATGCATTGTTAAAGATGTAGACATAGGAATATTGTATGGGTAGTAAATAAATGAGTTTTGCTTGAAATCGGCGAGTTTTCGTGTGTTTGAAATATGTTTGCTATATTTCTGAGTACTATATTCAAAGATATTGTGAAAAATGCCGGAATTATTAATGTAATATAATTATGCAATCCGTTACACAATAGTAATAATGCCCGGCACTCTGCAAAATATCCGTAAACATCGGAAATACACCAAAAACGTTTTGGAATAACGAATACTTTCAGATTTCGGCCAGCATCTGTTACTTTTCTATTGAAAAACACAGTGCTCGAGAATATTAATTTATTTAACAATCACGATACAAGATCGGTAGTGCTTCCTAGCATAGTCTAGTGATTATATTACTTGATTATATTTCCACACTTCTACATCCTGTTTTTCATACAGTCTCTTACTATATAAATCAAACGTTGAAATATATGCAATTTGTTCGTTATAGAAACGATATAAAGAAAAGGATATTATGAAGGATATAAGGTACAATTAATTTTAAATTTATTAATATAATTAATTGGTTGTGTCAGTGATATTATGACGTTAGGTGCACTTATTATTCCCGCATTTGTTTTCCCGTGAGCATCAATACGGGCATGCGTTGCCCGATGACGCAATGCGCGGTTTTCCATTGTTCTACGCGTCGATGCGCGTCGATTGTTTTTGTAGCGCCTGTCGAGATACTCAGGCACAGACGCGTTTTTGATGTCACAGAGATCTCACGTCGCAGAAAGCTTTTCCTATTCTCACGCCTCCTAGCCTCACTATTTTTTATCTTCCTATTCTTTCTTTATATTCTTTTACTATTACTCATTGTTTTTTGTTCTTCATATTTCTGGTATTCTTTATCTTATCTTTCTGCTTTCTTTATTCTTTTCGCTTTTCTCTTCTTATTCTTTAATCTACTTATTCTTTATTTTCTTTTATCTCTTTCTATTCTTTATATTCTTTCTATTCTTTTTATTCTTTATTTTCGTTTTTCTTTTTCTTTCTTCAGTGTCTTCTATTTTTTTTTCACTATGGAAACATGCGATGCAACAAAACCATCAAGGCGAAAATTTGTTAAAGCATGGCTCAATGATGATCGATATAAATCATGGATACGCCAAATATCATCAAATAATACGGTGTATCATTGCGCCATATGTAGTACAAATTTTTCCTGCAGTGGATCGCATGTTTCCAGACACGTGGATTCTGCGTGTCACAAAAAGAACATTAAAGAAAATGTTACAGACAGCGATAAGGAAAACAAACCAAAGCGTACATTTAAACTTAGGCACCAATGGTATGACACACCAGAATTTAAGTCCTAGTTACGCGAAGTGCCAAACAATACAGAATATGCTTCGTGTTCCATTTGTCATATATCTTTCATTGCTACTTTATCAAAAATACACCGACACGCAGAATCCAAAATGCATAGAGAGAAATTGGAAAAAAGTAATACAGAAACAAACAAATGGAGCGCAAATTTGAATACGCAAACTGATGAATCGTTTTTGACGTTTGATGAGCGTAAGAAAATTGCAGAAATTAAATTTGCTGCTCTAATCACAGAAAAAATATACCTCATCAAACTGCAAAAGAGATTCTCAGCCTTTTTCAACAAATTGGAGATATCAATGTGTTGAAAAGCATGAGTATGGGTCGAACAAAATGTACAAATATAATATCAAAGGTTTTATGTCCAATAGAGACGGAAAATGTTGTTAGTAGCATTCAAAATACGAAATTTTCGATTTTTATTGATGAGACTTCAAACATTACCAATGAGAAATGGATGACGTTTTTCGTCCGATATGTTGATTCCAAGAGTTTAGATGTTCGATCGCAACTAGTTAAATTAATAGATCTTGATGCAACAAATTGTAGTGCGGAAGAATTATTTAATGCATTTAAATCTGAGATGTATAAATTACAAATTCCGTTTGCAAATATTCTTGCCTTGTCATGTGATAATGCATCTGTCATGATAGGAAAACATGTGTCATTTAAGAAAAAACTAGAAGAACGATGCAAACATTTAATAACACTTGCATGTCCACGCCATTCTGCCGCATTAGTCGCGCACGCTGTATGCGCTAAAATGCCCGCATTTTGCGAAGACTTTCTTAAAAAAAACTGTTAATTATATTAACAGCAGTCCGAAGCGTTCAGCTATTTTTAAAGACTTGTGCGAATGTTTCCAAGATTCGAAGAATCGTAAACTTTTAAATTTCCAAGAATCGTAAACTTTTAAAGTTATGTGATACCCGGTGGCTCTCACATTATATATCTATTGAAAGAGTTCTTGAATTGTGGGATATCATGAGACATTTCTTTAGTGCAGTGCCCGGAATTACTTGCACGATCGGGCCGATTTCTGAGAGCTACGCCTCCTTACTTCCCCTTACCGCTCCAGCCCGCACGGCGGACCAAGAAACTGACAGTCGCGAGGCGCTGTCTCAGGCACGTCGCATGAGACAGTCACATGAGATGCTTCACAGTTTAACATAGCTGAAACAAATTTATTTATTAAAACAACTCCATAGGCATTTTTTATAGTTTACTAATATAATATAGTCTTAATATTAATATAAATATATATTAATAGAAATATTAATATAAGTAATATTCTTAATATAACTATAATATACACTGTATATTATAATTATATTAAGAATATTACAGTGTATACAGTGTATATTATAGTTATATTAAGAATATTACTTATATTGATATTTCTATTAACATATATTTATATTAATATTAAGACTATATTATATTAGTAAACTATAAAAAATGCCTATGGAGTTGTTTTAATAAATAAATTTGTTTCAGCTATGTTAAACTGTGAAGCGTCTCATGTGACTGTCTCATGTGACGTCCCTGAGACAGCGCCTCGCGACTGTCAGTTTCTTGGTCCGCCGTGCGGGCTGGAGCGGTAAGAGGAAGTAAGGAGGCATAGCTCTCAGAAATCGGCCCGATCGTGCAAATAATTCCGGGCACTGCTTTAGTGAAATGGTCGTGAGTGAGAAAACGAAGTCTGCGGAACACTTATTATCCGTCATGAATAATATAGACACCAAAGCGTATTTTCTATTTTTGAAATATATTTAAAATTTTTTTAATGCATTTAATGCTTTCTTCCAAGCTGCAGAAACAAGAAAACCTGCTGCACTCTAAATCTGTTAATTTTCTTATGCAAATTACGCAAAACTCTGAAACCTGAAAGAGTAAAAGACATACTTACAAATATAATATTTTCGGATGAAGAAAATCACAAAGCTATTAATGATATTTATTTAGGATCTGAATGTGAGGAATATTTTGATACGTTACTCGAAGAAGGACATGCAGATGTTATTGCGAATATTCGACAAAATTGTTTGCAATTTTATATTGCTGCCGAAGAAATTAAAAAACGACTACCCATTTATGATGTATTTTTACATAAATTACAAAGTTTTTTTACCACATATAGCTTTTTTTGATAATAACAAAGAAGTATCTTTCAATGATGTTTCTTACGTTGCAAAAACTCTAAGTGGTTTTGACGAAAATGGTTTAAAAGAAGAATGGCATACATTGTATAATGATTTTACTGGTGAAGAAAAACAGAAACTATCGACATTAAATTTTGCTGGTATGTGGGAGGAAATTATAAAACGTCAGTGTAATACTATTACAAAGTATCCGAATCTAAAATTATTCGGGCAACGCATGCCCGTGTTGATGCTCACGGGAAAACAAATGCGGGAATAATAAGTACACCTAACGTCATAATATCACTGTCACAACCAATTAATTATATTAATAAATTCAAAATTAATTGTACCTTATATCCTTCATAATATCCTTTTCTTTATATCGTTTCTATAACGAACAAATTGCATATACTTCAACGTTTGATTTATATAGTAAGAGACTGTATGAAAAACAGGATGTAGAAGTGTGGAGATATAATCAAGTAATATAATCACTAGACTATGTTAGGAAGCACTACCGATCTTGTATCGTGATTGTTAAATAAATTAATATTCTCAAGCACTGTGTTTTTCAATAGAAAA